TAGTGACCTCTTTGGACACTGAATCCAATCCCACTGTCCTATCCAATTCAATGGTCCATTGGGGATATCATCAGTGGCAGTCACACTACCGGCTCCCAATAGGGCCTCTTGTAACTCCATACTGTTTGTCAGATACCAGGTCAATGTATCTTTTTTCATTGGTATCTGTATGTGATCAGGTTCCTTTCCCATAATCTGTACTGTCCGTTCACGACCCTTTTTGAGCAAATCAGCTAAAATCTCAATTTTCTGAAGAAGGGTTTTATGTTGTTGAAGTGGAGGAGATATCCATTCCAAGGCCCATATCTCCCCCGTTTTTCTGTTATGGTGAGTAAGTGCACCCAGTAAAAATTTTGGTCCACACCAAACTGTCAGCTGTATAGGAAGATCAAGATCACGTCTCCGAACACTGCCTTGTGTGACACAGTCCAATATCTGCTGCAGTGTCTCGAGGATGAAGAGCAATAATAAAGAAGCAGTCCTTCAGATCAATAATCAAAAGTGGCCAGTTCCTCGGCAGCACAGCTGGATTAGGTAATCCTGGTTGAAAGGCTCCCATAGGCTCCATCAATAATGAGTGGTCCCTTTACTCCAGTTGGAACCTTTTCTGGGTGGATAGTCATCAGGGTTACTGTGCCAGGTCCCATCCGAGGCTCCCGGTGGTGGCGGGCTGGAGGCAGGTTGAGCTGAAGCGGTGACAGCTGCTACTCGTGTCCGGGCGCAGGGAGCTGGTGACCGGGAAGCAGAACCGCGCCGGGCAGCCGCGGGGTGGGCAGACCTCCTGGAGCCCGCTGCCCCATGGGGGGTGGGAGGCCCGTCCTGCCGCCCCCCCCGGCTCGGGGGTCAGGGCGGCTGTGGAGCGGAGCGGGAGGAGGCGGAGGAGGTGTAGGGTTTAACACCAGGGCAGGTGGCGCGGACAGCACAGCTGGAGTACGCGCGGGGGGGGGGGGGCTGCTGGCCGAGGCAGGAGCTGATAGCTGCAGGGAGCTGCTGTTTAGAGCAGGAGCTAGCGTCGGCGGGGAGCCAAACCAGTCTCCGTAACTACTGTTTCTTTCACGGGCTGCATTAGTCTGCTGGGCAGCTCTTTCCTCTGTCTGGTATTTCAGCAATTCAGCATGCACGACTCACCATAACTTTCCCAACTTTCTCACGGCTTTATCATCATCTATGACTGCCTGCCACAACTAATCCCCAAATATACGGCACTCTGATAACCTATGCACTGTGCAAGGAGTCCAAAAAAGTCCTTGAGCATACCCATGAGCTAACAACCCATGAAGCTCTTTCTGCAAATCTATACCCTTAACCTTACGCTTTTATAAAAAGCTAGGAAATAAATCATATGCTGCTTGCCTTTCTTTATCCATGTTGAAGATAACAGCGCGCTTCTTGCAGCCCTTTCAGACTCCGGCAGCACGTCTCGGCCGGGCTCTCTTTTGAGGTCACCCGGGGCAATGCACTTTCCCTTTTTCAGCAGTGCTTTTGCCATCCTCAGCTGCAATAGGACCTGAACTTCTTACGCCGCTCGACCGTGGTTACCATTGAATCACGTCGGGATCACCATTTGTCATGATACGGCGGAGGAATTGCAGCACACAATATGTGTGAATTGCAAATCCCAAAGTTTATTGAAAGCTCACACATATTTATATTGGTGTTAATGAAGCTTATACATATTGCAAAAGCTGAGCTCATTATTGGTTAAAGCACATTTAGATCAACCACACCTACTTCTATGCTCTAATGATTATTTTGTTTCTATGTTTGCATTCTTCTAGCTTCTCTACCTAGGATATCTACATTTTCTGGCAAGCAATTTTCTCCCCCGTCTTCCCGTTTCAGTGAAGGTCACTATGACCTTTGTCAGTGATTGGACACTGGTTACACAATCCCCAGCTTGTTTCCCCTATCCTTATCCATCGGTATCACATCGAAGTGGCTTTTCTCAGCTAGCTAATTATCCAAAAAGCTCTCTACAGAAGGGTTTTCACAGAATGTGTGATAAAGTCTTGGATTGGTTTGCCCGGGGAGGTAATGGAGTCACCATCTCTGGATGTGTTTAAAAAAGGCTGGATGTGGCACTCAGTGTCATGGTTTAGTTGCAGTGTTAGGGCATGGGTGGGACTTGATGGTCTTGAAGGTCTCTTCCAACCCAGTAATTCTCTGATTCTGTCATTCTGGGATTTGATGATCCCATTGGGTCCCTCCCAGCTCATCCCCTTCTGCAATTCTCATCCTTTGGCTCAACCTTTGTGTTCCCTCAAGGTGCTGGCAGAGCTGTTGGGGACAGGGCAGAAGTGGGGCAGCCCCAGCGTTCCCGTGTGTGTGACACCCCATTGGTGACAGCCTCAGTGTCCCCTGTGTGTGACACCCCAGCAGTGACAGCCCCAGTGTCCCCTGTGTGTGACACCCCAGCAGTGACAGCCCCATTGTCCTCTGTGTATGACACCCCAGCGGTGACAGCCCCAGCGTTCCCTGTGTGTGACACCCCAGCAGTGACAGCCCCAGTGTCCCCTGTGTGTGACACCCCAGCAGTGACAGCCCCAGCGTTCCCTGTGTGTGACACCCCAGCAGTGACAGCCCCAGCGTTCCCTCCCTGCAGTCGCTCCAAGGGAAGCGTCCAGAGCCGCGTCCAGTCCATGGAACTGAGCGGCCACTGCCCACCCCGGCCTGGGCTGATGTGGATTCCTCTGCACACAGCTCGGGGAAGGTCCCCCTGGCCACCTGCACAGTGCCACAGACAAGTGTCAGACACAGTCACAGAGCTCTGCCCAGAGCTTCCAGGAAGAGATAATTTTAAAAAAACCCCAAAACCATATAAACCAAAAAATAAAAAAAAAAAAAACCAAAAAATGAAAAACCAATAAAAAACCAAACAAAACCATATCAAAAGAAACCCCAGCACCCTAACCAAACAACCAAACCAAAACAACAACACAAACAAGCCAACCAAAACAGAACAAAGGATAAAAAACCAAATCAAGCCAAACCAACCAAATAAACAAAAAAACAAATCAAGAAAAAGAGAACTCCCACCCAGTAGAGCTGTTCCATCCTTCAGTTGTCACACTTGCACTCACACAAGACCTGGGGCTGCAAAAAAAGAGAATTGATTGGGCACATTTGCAGGAAAAGCAGGTTTAGGACAGGCTCTCAGCAGAACTGTTCTCAGGTGAGCCAAAAAGGCCCCTTTGGCAGCTGCAGGGCCATTGGAAATGCAGAGCCTCAGCCCACAGGGCAGGAAAGGGCTCTGAGTTCCCCTCCCCTGACACTAAACCCTGTTCCCAGGCTGCTTCACACTCAGGATTCTGTTGGAAGACTGCACAGAGCTGAGAGTGGGCTCTGGCTTTTCCATGTTGTGTGTCCTAAAGCTGCCTGGGAGAAGAAATTTCAGGTCAGCTCCGCTGGCACAATCCCTGCTGGCACAGGGCAGAGCCCCAGGAAGGGCTTTGCGTGCCGAGGCTTTGCTGCAGGCAAGGAAAGCTCCTGGCTCAGGGTCACCTTTGCTGCTCAGCCAGAGCCCCGAGTGCCCCAGCAGCAGCAGAGAATGGCAGCAGTGCCACGGGCAACCATCACCATTGCATGGCAACCATCACCAGCCCCTGTTGCTGTGGTCAGTTTCCATGGCAACCATCACCAGCCCCCTGTTGCTGTGGTCAGTTTCCATGGCAACAATCACCAGCCCCTGTTGCTATGGTCAGTTTCCATGGCAACCATCCCCAGCTCCCTGTTGCTATGGTCAGTTTCCATGGCAACCATCCCTAGCCCCAGGGTCTATGTTCAGTTTCCATGGAAACAATCACAAGCCCCTGTTGCTATGGTCAGTTTCCATGGCAACCATCACCAGCCCCCTGTTGCTATGTTCAGTGTCCATGGCAACCATCACCAGCTCCCTGTTGCTACTGTCAGTTTCCATGGCAACCATCACCAGCTCCCTGTTGCTATGCTCAGTCCCTGGGCAGCTCCATGGAGACCCCATGCCAGGGGTGATTGCCATGGAAACCAGCTCAGGCCTGAAGCCAGAGCCCGTTGCCATGGCAACCATTGGCAGTCCCATCCCCAGGCTCATGGGATCCCAGAAGCACAGAATTGGCTGAGCTGGGAGGGACCCATCAGGATCCTCCAGTCCAACTGCTGGCCCTGCACAGGACACCCCAACAATGCCAGCCTGGGCCTGGCAGCACTGGCCAAACGCTGCTGGAGCTCAGAGAGCCCTGGAGCTGGGACCCTTCCCTGGGGAGCCTGGCCAGGGCCCCAGCAGCCTCTGGGCAAAAACCTTTTCCTGACATCCAACCTGAGCCTGCCCCGACTCAGCTGCAGCCGTTCCCTCCACTCCTGTCCCTGGGCATCAGAGGGAAGAGGTTCCCACAGCCCCAGCCAGGGACCCGCTCCCAAGGCTCTTGCCATGGCCACCAGGGCTGGCACCAGCTGGGATGCTCGGTTTCCACCTGCTGGGGTTTAGGAACGGGATTCCTCAAATTCCTGCTCCTGCTAAAACCGCGCTGCCCTCGCTGCCCTCCCACCTCCCATGGAAAGCACAAAAGGCAAAGATCCCGGGCTGGGATAAGAACAATTTCCTGGGAACAGCAACGAGATAAAGAACAAACAGGAACAGAAATAATATTGGTAACAGAGGGGATAAGAAAAGCTATTTACAGGGAAAACTACATCACCACCCACTGGCTCTTCCCGGCCACGTATTTCCTCCTGCCTGGAAAGGACACCTTTCTTCTCAGGGAGAGAGAGAGTCCCTTTCCTGCCCCTGGCAATGACCTGAGGTGGGAGTGACTGTAATGACACGGCCATGGCCAGACCCTCATGTTCTTCCATCTCACATCATGTCATTGGCAGGGGCAGGAAAAGGGACAGGGGTCTTCCCAGCATGGATCACAGGGAACATGGATCACCAGAGCTCTCCCCAACGTGCGTCCTCCAATAGGGAATGAAGCTGGAGCAGTGCATGAAGCTCCTCCTTCAGTCGAGTCATTCCAGGGCTTCCCTTACCGGTGCCTCTGTTGGTGTTTGTTCAAGTGAGAGCTCTGGCTGAAGCTCTTCCCACACTCAGAGCACTTGTAGGGCCTCTCCCCAGTGTGGATGCGCCGGTGCCTGACGAGGGTGGAGTTGTGCTTGAATCCCTTCCCACAGTCAGGGCAGTGGAAGGGCCTCTCCTCAGTGTGAATCCACTGGTGTAGGAGGAGGTGGGAGCTGCTCTGAAACCTCTTCAGACACTCAGGACACTGGTAGGGCCTCTGCCAAGTGTGGATGCACTGGTGGATGATGAGGGTGAAGCTGCAGCTGAAGCCCTTTCCACACTTGCCACGCTTGCCACACTCCTGAGGCCATTCCCCAGTGTGGATCATCTGGTGGCAGATCAGGCTGTTGCTTTGCCTGAAGCTCTTCCCACCCTCCAAGCTGCTCATGGGCCACCAGCTCCGAGCTCTGGCTGAAGCTCTGTCCACCTTCCTGGCACAGGGTGGCTCTTTCCTCCTCAGAGCACCCTGGGCTGGGCTTGCAGCCCCTCCTTGTGTGGGATCTCCAGGGATTTTCCTCCCTCTTGCATTCCTGTGCTGTGGAGTCACTCAAAACAGCCTCTTCCATGAGATTATACCATGGGGATTTGTCCTCCCTGGTCTCCATCCTCAGCTCCTGGTCTGGGGGAGGAAGAACAAGGACAGGATGGGATTTGCCTCCATGCCAGAGGGAAGGAGATCCTCCCAATGTGTCCCTGGCTGCAGGACGGCATCGGCAGCAGGATTGTCCTGCAGCCAGGGCCCGTGCTGGGCTGGGAGATGGAGCAGGAGAGAGGGGGAAAGGGGCACTGACTTCCTCCTCACCTGCCTGCATGTCCTGGGACATCTTCCTCTTCCTCACAGCCTCCTTCTCCATCCAGCCAAGGTTTGGGAAAGAGAAATCCTGGTTTGGGGAAAAATACAATGGATGAGCACATTGGGTTAGGGGGTTCCTACTGCCCAAGCCCATCCCTAGAAGTCACTGGGAATCTGCCACCCATATAAACCTCCAAAGCACCAAGATTCCGTCCCCCAAAATACACAAATGACCAAGATGCAGCAAAAACACCCAGCCCTCAGTTTCCCCTCTCTGGTCTCTCCACTTTGGGCTCCTGGAGGCTCCCCCTGTCTGGGTTGCTCCAGTTCAAGTTTGTATTGGTGTTCCTCTCTCTGGGCTGCTGGGGCTCCTGGCAATCCCGCAGGTTCCCCTTCTCTGGGCTCACCACTTTGGCATCACAGGCGTCCCAGGGGTCAGCACTGTCCGGGGTCCCTGTTTCAGGCTCCTGGGGTATCCAGGGGTCCCCCCTGTCCATGATCCCAACGTGTCCAGGCTTCTGGAGCACCCCCAGCTCTCGTATTGCCCATTTCTGCTGCCCCAGTGCCGGTTTCCCTGCTGCCCTGCCGGTACTGGGCGATCCCCATGTGGCTCTGGGCTGGCAGTGCAGCCCCTGGCCCGGGCAGATCATTCTGCTCTCTGACACTGTCTACCAACCCAAGAGGACAGTTATCCTGTAGGCAAGTCTTCCCACTAAAGACTGAGGCAAAGAAGGTGTTAAGCACCTCTGCCTTCTCCTCATCTGCGGTTACTAAGTCCCCTCCCACATCTAATAAAGAACAAGGGTTGGTCCTACCCTTCCTTTTGCCATTAATATATTTGTAAAAACATTTTTTATTATCCCTTACAAAATGTCCCAAGTTAAGTTCATACTGAGCTTTGGCCTCCCTAATTTCTTTCCTACGTGTCCTAGCAACCCCCTTAAACACTTGCTGAGAGACCTGACCGTCCTTCCAAAGATGATACATCCTCTTTTTATTCCTATGTTCCATCAAAACCTCCTTGCCCATCCAGGCTGGATGTTTGCCTCATCAACTCTTCTTTCAGCACACAGGGACAGTCTGTTCCTGTTCCCACAAGATCTCTGTTTTGAAGCACACCCACCCTTCCCAGACTCCTTTGTTTTTAAGGGCTGCTTCCCAAGGAACTCTCGGAATAAGTCTCCTAATGAGGCCAAAGTCTGCCCTCCAGAAGTCCAATGTAAGAGTCTTATAGATGTTCCTCCTGATTTCACAAATATTGGGAACTCTATAATTTCATGCTCACTATGCCCCAAGTGGCCTCCAACCACCACATCTCCCCCAGCCCATCTCTAATCCCAAACAACAGGTCCAGCATAGTCCCTCCCCTGCTGGGCTCACTCACCAGCTGTGACAAAAAGTTGTCCTCCACACACTCTAAAAACTTGGAGGCTGCTGCTGAATTTTACTTCTCCAGAGGCTTGTTCAGCCTTCAGCTCTTCAGTTCAGGAATTCAGTGCCCCAGAGCTCATTAACATTCAGCACACCTTAACAAGCTGAGCCTCTGGGAATAATCTGATTTACATTTCCAAATCTTTCATGGTTAATGGGACAGATTTCAGAACTGCATTCCAAGTGAATATATTATATTTACAAAGACAGTGAGGAAATAGTTTTTGGTCCTGTTTAGGTTTTCCTGTTAATTCATTGATACGTGCCATCTCCAATTGATCCTGAATCCAAGTACCTCCTCATGCAGTTGGAATAGATATGAAAATCAAGACCCTTTATGTCTGACAATCAATCAGACTCTGTCCCTACCCCCATCCCACCATTTCCCCCATCCAAGCCCTGGCACTCAGAGCAGCCTTGTGCAAATCTGAGCTCCCTCCAGCCCAGGCTGGACCTGCAGGTTTCAGCTCCTTGGCTCCAGTTCCCCCCTGCTTTCCTTGGAGAAGGAGCTGCCAGAGACCAGAGGGATGTTCATTTATTGTCAGCCAGCAAAGCCAAGGGAAGGCACAGCTCTGTAAAATGCAAAAGTCATTCATTTCCCTGGCTCTGCCCTGCCCCTGATCCCCACAGCCTGTCCTGTTTCCTTCATCCCTGCATTGCCAGGCACTTTCTGGGACAAGGGAGCTCTGCTCTGGGGATGGAGCAAGGTCCAAGTTCCACCACTAGAGTGGGAACCACAACTCATCAGGTTTGTGTCCTTGGAGGGACCAGGAACTGGTGAGACTCAGAGGCACAGAAAGGTTTCTCTTCATGGCAAACATAACAAATATAAAATGATAAAATTGAAAAACACCAAAACACTTGCCTCAGCTCCTTGTGACATCCCAGCAACATCTGACATGTCCACCACCCACAAGGGATTGCCATACAGGAAGGATTTTAGACAAAGACATAAAAAAGGTGATAGAAAAGATAAAAATACAACTAAGATGCTGACTAAAGTGTTATTTGAACTTCTGAAAGATTGGGCAACCCCCCGAAGCTCAAAGCATGAAGCCAGCCAAGGGAGATGCACTGGAATGACCAGAGAACAGCTGCAGGAGGAAATCTGGAGCAAGGAGAAGGACAAAGCTGCTCTAAATGAAGAGATGTCCTTAGACATGGCCATTTAACCAGGAGAGCTGGAAACACCTGAAGGAAGAGGGTCATGAAATATTAGACTGAATGTTGGTGGCAAAAGTAGATGGGAAGATCAGTATTTCTTCTCCTGCCATCAGGAGAAGAATCCCGTAGATCCAGGAAATTCCTGTACCTGGTGGGAAAACTTTGCAATTTCTTAAAAGTACTCAAATGACCTAGATAATAAAGATTTGCTTGTATATTATGAAATGTACAAGTATTAAAACCTGTGCCCCTTTCCAGGCAGACATCAGTTGTGTGCCCATGGACAGGTAGTGCCACTTGTGCCCTGAGGTGCCCAGCTGGGATTGGATCTCTCTGAGAGCACCTGAGGGACTGCAGAGCACCTTGCAAGCTGCAGGTCCCTGACAGCCCCACAGGGCCCCTGTCCCATCAACATCTGCTCTGCTCCAGTCTGAAACAGGGCCCAGCATGTGCCGGGATCATCAGAGAGCTGAGGTGTGTGCTGGAATTCAATGCCCTCCCCATCCCGCAGCAGCCCTGCATTTCCCTGCTGCAGCCTTGGTCTCCAGCCCAGCCATGGAGGCTCTTTGGGCTCTGGAGTGTTGCTGCAGCCCCCAAGGGCAGCTGAGCTCTGCCTTTGGCACAGTCAGGCCTGGCCAGCGCAGGCCATGCTCAGCAATTGCTTGTGTGTGCCTGGCCTTGCTGTCAGCCCCGGCAGCGGCTGCGTGGCCCCTTTGTGGCCCTGTGCTGGCCCAGCCATGGTGGTCCAGCCCCTGTGCAGGCCCAGCCCAGGTCAGGAGCATTGCGGCTGGGAACGGCCCCTGTGCTGTGGTGCCCACAGCAGCCTTGGGGCTCTGTGCCCCATGGCCTCCCTGCTGGGCAGCCTCTGCCAGCTCCTGCAGAGCCCGTGGCACCTGTGGGGCTGCACAGACAGCCCTGCCCCGGGCTCTGCCGGCCTCTGGGCCAGCAGAGAGGCAGCCAGGGCTGGCCATGGCCAGGAACAGGCCCTGAGCCCCGCAGGAGGATGGAGCTGGGCCACAGCCAAACTCAGCCCAGGGCACACCTGGGCTCAGCAGCCAGGGCTGCCAATGCATGGGCACAGAGGCTGGCGCTGCCAAATGTCCTGGGCCCCCTCCCTGCTCTGTCCGTGCCACCAAGGGCACAGAGCAGCCTCCTCTCTGGGCCACTTGCCTGTTTGCAATGCCTTGCACAGGCGCTGGCCCTGCCCCACAAGGCCTGGCCTGAGTCCTGCCCCTGCACACTCAGCCAGGCTGAGATGGACACTGATGGTTTCTGGGCCAGGCTCTCTGAGCCCAGCCCAGCTCCCTGCAAGCTCTGCCAGCTGCCCTGAGCTCTGGGCAGCACCAAGGGCCTCTCTGAGCCCAGCCCAGCCCAGCCGGCTCTGGCCCCACAGCTCTGCTCAGGCCAGGCTGCTCTGGGCACTGCCCCACGGCCTCAGCCCCTGCCAAGGGCACAGCAGCAGCTGCAGCTGCCACAGGACTCAGCCCCAGCCATGGGGGAAGGTGCCTGGCCAAGGCCAAAGGAGGCTCCCTGGCTGCCCTGCTCCCCTCTGGCTGAGGTGCTGAGAGCTCTGCAGCCCCTGCTGCCATCCCATCTGCCCAGGGCAGCACAAGAGCCCCGGCCTTGGGGCCCTCAAGAGCTGCTCCTGCTCCAGGCCCAGGGCCCATGCCAAAGCTGGGGCAGCCACAAAGCTGTGCCCATTTCTGTTCATTGCTGCTCTCATGGGGATGGATCCTCAGCCACTTGGAGGGTGCTGATGAATTTTCCTACTCCAGGGGCCTCTTCCTTCTTGAGCTCTTCAGTTCAGGAATTAAGTGAGAAATGCTCATAAACATTTGTTCAAAACACCCAAAACAAGAAAAGCCCATGGGAATAATCAAAGTTTTCAATTCTTCTGTGGTTAATTAGACAGATTTCAGAAGTCTATTCATAAGTGAATATACCATATTGAAAACAAAGCAGAGAGAACTGTTTTGTCCTGTTTTATTTTCTTCTTTATAAATTGATATCAGCAATCCCCAGTTGATATTGATCCCCAGCACCTCCTAGTGCATTTTGAAAAGATATGAAAATCAAGACCCTTTGTGGCTGACAATCACACTTTGTTCCTACCCCCACCCCACCATTTCCCTCATCCAACCCCTGGCACTCAGAGCAGCTGAGGAATGGGGTCACATCCAGGGGTGTCCCCAGGGCTCAGAATTGGGGCCAGGTCAGTGAAATCTCTTTATTGCTGATCTGGATGAGGCCATCGAGGGCACCCTCAGTCAGTTCCCAGGTGAGCCCAAGCTGGGTGGGAGTGTGGCTGTGCTGGAGGGCAGGAAGCTCTGCAGAGGGATCTGGCCAGGCTGGAGCCATCCATGGGCCCAGGACAATGGGGTGAGGTTCACCAAGGCCAAGGGCTGGGTCCTGCCCTGGGCTCACAACCACCCCAAATCCCTGGCTGAACCCTGCACCTGATCCCCACAGCCTGTCCTGTTTCCTTCATCCCTGCACCTGATCCCCACAGCCTGTCCTGTTTCCTTCATCCCTGCATTGCCAGGCACTTTCTGGGACAAGGGAGCTCTGCTCTGGCTATGGAGCAAGGTCCAAGTGCCACCATTGGAGTGGGAACCACAACTCATCAGGTTTGTGTCCTTTGAACAGGACATAATTTAATAACAATCACGCTCCTCCCTGAGCTATGTGAAATGTCCCAGTAGTGTCTGATGAGTACACCCTCCACAGGTGATTTCCATACTAAAATTAATTTTAGACAAATGTGGTAATAGATATAAACACAATTAAGTTCTTGTATCAGGATGCTCATCCTGGTGTCGGGGCACAACAGCTCAAACAATTCCTGATTTGCAAAGCTGCCAGTGGTGGATGGAGAAGGGAGGTCAGGCTGCTCTTGGTGTTGAGGAAATGCTGAAAGCAGCCTGACTCATTTCATCTCCTCATGCCCTGGCTGATATCCCCTCTTTCCCCTTCCACCCATTGGCTTTTGTCTCCCACCAGCCCCCCTGTGAAGAGCCTGGCTCTGTGTTCTCCATCCCCTCCTCACTGGCACTGCCAGGCTGGGATGAGGAGCCCCTCAGCCTTCCCTGCTCCGGGCTGGACAAGCCCAGCTCCCTCAGCCTCTGCTCACAGCCCAAGGGCTCCAGCCCCACCTTGGAGGCCCTTCCCAGGCCCTGCTCCAGCTGCCAGACATCTTTCCTGCCCTGGGCAACCCAACCCAGGCCACAGTGACCTGGATAATCCCCGTCCTTGATGTCCTGGTCACACAGCCCTGGCCCCTTGTCCCCTGTCAGGCTCTGGGATGGATCCTGTGGAACATCCTTTGGTGGAGGCTGTGGCTCCAGGGGGGCGGGGGGATCCCGGGGGACAGGGACCCTGCTGGGCATGGACAGCATTGGACTTGTTGGGAGAAACTGTGAGGGGGAGCTGGGGCAGAGTGAGCAACCCAGCGACCTGACACAGCCCTGCTGGGATGTCACACAGCCCCTCTGGGATGTCACAGCCTCCTCTGTGATGTCACAGCCCATTCTCTGATATCACACAGCCCCTCTGTGATGTCACAGACCATTCTCTGATGTCACAGAGCTGCTCTCTGATGTCACACCAGAGTCTGTGATGTCATAGTCTGCCCTGTGATGTCAGACCTCTGCCCTGTGATGTCACAGCCTGATCTATGATGTCACAGATGCAGTCTATGATGCCACAGCTGTTGGATGACCTCACATAACCCACTCTGTGATGTCACAGCCCACTCTGTGACCTCATGTTACCAGATGATAAATTGTCTCCACCAGCTGAGCTGACCCCTGGAGATTGTTCTCCACAACCCCAGGCCTGTGGAGAGCACACAATGCCCATTGTGTGAGAAGGGGAACTGGAAGTTCAGCAGCCTCAGTGTCCTGCCAGCTCAGCCAGGCCCACGGGAACATTGGGCTCCACGAGCACCAGGGACCAGCAGAGACACCCCCAGGACAGAAGAACACATGGGTTAAGAGGAGGGGAAATATGTTAAGGATTTTGGGGAAATGATTATCACATGTGTGAAAAAGAATAAAAAATCACCAAATTTGCAGATGACAGCAAGCTGGGTGTGAGTGTGGATCTGCTGGAGGGTAGGAAGGCTCTGCACAGGGCCCTGGACAGGCTGGAAGCAGGGCCCAAATCCAACAAGGTGAGGTTGAACAAGTCCAAGTGCCGGGTCCTGCACTTTGGCCACAACAACCCCTGCAGCTCTACAGGCTGGGGACAGAGGGGCTGGACAGCAGCCAGGCAGAAAGGGACCTGCAGGGACAGATGGACAGCAGGCTGGACATGAGCCAGCCGTGTGCCCAGGTGGCCAAGAAGGCCAATGGCTCCTGGCCTGGCTCAGGAATGGTGTGGCCAGCAGGAGCAGGGCAGGGATTATTCCCCTGTGCTCAGCACTGCTTGGGCAGCACCTCAAGTGCTGTTTGCAGTTCTGGGCCCCCAATTTAGGAAGGACATGGAGGGGCTGGAGCGTGTCCAGAGAAGGGCAACAAGGCTGGGGAGGGGTCTGGAACACAAGAGCTTTGAGGAGCAGCTGAGGGAGCTGGGCTTGTTTATCCTGGAGAAGAGGAGGCCCAGGGGAGACAAGGCCGTGTCAGGGCACAGGTTGGACTTGATGATCTCCATGGCCTGTTCCAGCCTTGCTGATTCTGGGATTCTCTCAAAGAACCCTTGGAGCAGTTGCAGGATGAGCCCTGGGCCTCCTCTTGAGGAGCTCCAGCAGCCCAGGTGCCTCAGCTTCTCCTGGCAGCCCCAGAGCCCATCCTGTCAGTCGTGCAGAGCCTGTGCAGCTCCTCCTCACTGCCCAGAACAGGGAGCCCCAGAGGCAGACACAGCAGCCCAGATGTGCCCCCCTGGCCTGGGCTGCCTCTGGCAAGGGAGCAGCAGCAGGCACTGCAGGAGCCTGCAGACAATTCCTGCAGCACTTGTAGGATGATCCTGCTGCCCAAGGGACGTTCCCATGGGGCCAAGTCAGGAACTGCAATGGGCAGTGGGGCTAGAGAGGAAAGGGCAAACAAGGATGGGCTGTTTGCAGGGGAGGGAACGGGGGTGGGCAATGGGAAGACATTTGTATCAGGAAGAGGAAAGAAAGCAAAGGTGAAGCAAAGGAAATGCTCCGGGCAGTTTGGGGCTGGCTGCCAGGCAGCCCTGGCTCTGAGCAACAGCGTCTGCAGTGGCACAGGAAACTCCCAGCTGATGGGAACAAACTTTCTGGCTGACTGCAGAGGCCAGGACAAAGCTGAGTGGTTTCCCTGGTGTCCCCCAGCCCTTGCTGGCCCCAGGGCTGATGGCATTTGTGCTCCCTCAGGTTCATGTCCCCACAGCAACAGCATGGGGGTGCTCCCCTTGCTGTGTCCAATGCAAGCAGGGACTGCTGAGCCAGTGCTGCCGTGTCTGTGCCTGCAAGGATGGGGCACCTGTGTGAGCTGGGGGAGAGGCCAGGGCTGCAGAGGGGGGATGTTGTTGGCAGCTGCATGAGGACGCTCTGGGACGCTGCCCTGGGCTGTGCAGCGCACTGGGCATGGATCAGCCCCTGCTCTGCTGCTCCTTCCCATCTGCCCCAGGGCTCTTGCAGAGCCCCAGCCGTGCTGTTTGCCCCCAGCCTGCCCACGGCCAGCCTGGGGCTGCTCACGGGGGTTTCTGTGCTGAGCATTGGCCTGGCCGTGTTCTTGAGAGAGCCCGGGCCAGGAGCCTGGAGCCCCCAGGGCCTGGCCTGAGGCGTCAGCGCTGCCCCAGCAGTGCCCATGGCCTGTCCCTGCTGCAGCCCCGGCACTGCCACCCCCAGGGCTGTGCCCGGCCCCGAGAGCACTCAGGCCCTGCAGCAACACCAGGGCCACCAGGGCAGCGGGGCAGGGCCACGGCAGCAGCACTGGCAACACCAAGTGCTGCTGCTGCTGCTGGGCACAGCTGCTGGGCCAGCCCTGATCTGCCCCAGCTCTGCACACAGATATTGCTGCTGCAGCTCCAGAGAAGGCAACAAAAGGGCATCTCTGCAGAAAACTCTGCTGGGAGATCCTTCAGTTCCTTTAAAGGCACCAAGAGCTCATTGACACAGTCTGTGGCCACAGGGAAGACGGAGAGAAACAAAATGAGAAACGGCACAAACAATGACATTTCTTTGTGGACAATATGAAAAAAACTAAAACAAAGAAAAAGAACTGCCAAACTGAAACCAACAAGAAGTATTAAAGATGACTTTTATTACAAGTGATTTTCAGAAATTGGCAAGCAGATGAATGTTCCTGAAAGCATCCAGTCATCAGTCTCCACACTGCAGCCTTGAGCTCCTGGTTCCTCAGGCTGTAGATGAGGGGGTTCAGGGCTGGAGGCACCACTGAGTACAGAACTGACAGGGCCAGATCCAGGGATGGGGAGGACATGGAGGGGGGCTTCAACGGAGCAAATATGCCAGTGCTGACAAACAGGGAGAGCACAGCCAGGTGAGGGAGGCAGGTGGAAAAGGCTTTGTGCTGTCCCTGCTCAGAGGGGATCCTCAGCACAGCCCTGAAGATCTGCACATAGGAGAAAACAATGAACACAAAGCAACCAAATACCAAAGAGGCACTAACTGTGATGAGTCCAACTTCCCTGAGAGTGTTGGAGTGTGAGCAGGAGAGCCTGAGGATCTGTGGCACCTCACAGAAGAACTGGCCCAGGGCATTGCCATGGCACAGGGGCAGGGAAAATGTATTGGCTGTGTGCATGAGAGCATGGAGAAAGGCACTGGCCCAGGCAGCTGCTGCCATGTGGGCACAAGCTCTGCTGCCCAGGAGGGTCCCGTAGTGCAGGGGTTTGCAGATGGACACGTAGCGGTCGTAGCACATGATGGTCAGCAGTGAATACCCTGCTGTGATAAAGAACAGAAAGAAAAAGAGCTGAGCAGCACATGCTGAGTAGGAAATGGTGCTGGTGTCCCAGAGGGAATTGTGCATGGCTTTGGGGACAGTGGTGCAGATGGAGCCCAGGTCGCTGAGGGCCAGGCTGAGCAGGAAGAAGAACATGGGTGTGTGCAGGTGGTGGCCGCAGGCTACAGCGCTGATGATGAGGCCGTTGGCCAGGAGGGCAGCCAGGGAGATGCCCAGCAAGAGGCAGAAGTGCAGGAGCTGCAGCTGCCGCGTGTCTGCCAATGCCAGCAGGAGGAAGTGCCTGATGGAGCTGCTGTTGGACATTTGCTGGGGCTGGCCATGGGGACCTGTTCATGGAGAAAGGACAGTGAAGTGTTAGAGGAGATCCCTGTAACCAAAACCAAAGCCATTTCCCATACACTCTCCCCAAAACACACACAGAGACATCCTTTTGTGTTCAAGAGTTCTGGGGTTTTTCTTATAAGCTTCCCCACATCTCTTCTGGTGTTTTTGGATATCAGAAGCCCTCAGCATTTCTGCTGCACTCAGGGAGAACAGAGCAAGTTCTGTGAGGCAGAGTGATGAGTGGAGACTGAGGAGAGATGGTCTGTCATTGTGACCTGTTCAGAGTTTCTCTGGGCTTTAACCTGTCTCAGGTGGAGGGTGATCACCTTCCCATGCTTCCCCTAAAATGTCACCAGGTACTGCTGAGAGCAGATGGATCCACCCCAGCCCAGCTGCACATTTGTAGCCAAGGACTCGTATTGCTCATTTCACCAACCCAGCAGCATTTTCAGAGTCAGAACACCTCTGCCTTTCCCCATCAATCTTATGACTCCAAGATGCTCTAGGACAGGTTTGCACCCTGGATTGAAGCTCCCAGCTTGGACTGAAATCTCAGGGAGACTCCCAAGTGTCCTTCTGATGGCATTGGATTGTGGGAGATGCAGCTCCTTCCCTGGCTGCACTGACAGCATTGCCCAGAGCCGGGCCCTGGGGACAGCGTCACCCTGAGCTAGCTGTGCCCCCTCCAGAGCCCCCAGGGCCGGGCAGCTGCTCCCAGCCCTGTGCTCTGCAGAGGGACCTGGGCCCAGGGCTGCAGAGCATCCCAGTGTGATTATTTTCTCTCATTCTCTGATCTTGTCTCTTCTTTCTGGAGATTTTCCTCCTGCAGGTGTTTCCCTGTGCCTGATCTCTCCCTGCCAGCACTCACAGACCCCAAATCTCTGTGCACTCTCCTTGGCCCTACAGAACCCTGCCTGTTTGCAGGGCATGGGCTGGGGGCAGGTTCTGTTTGCAGCTTGGAGAAAGGACAGCTCAGACTGAATCTCATGGGTCCAGCAAAGGTGATGCTGGTTCAGCCATGGGCAGAGGAGTGGCTGAAAGCACATTAGGGATCTCCTGTGAACCTATTGATCACTAAAAGTAACAGTTCAGGTGTCTCAGGCACTTGTCAAAATCCATAATCATCCTTTAATATTTATCCCCCCCTCCCTGCCATTCTCCAATAGTAGGAAACTGAATACAAAGTCTCAGGAAATTTCCTCATTTTTATCAAAATCCTTGTCTTGGGAATATTCTGTGACTGATCAGAACCCTTCAGTACATCAGAGCTTCATGAACATTTCACCTCCCCTGCACCAGAAATACTCAGAGTGGTACTCCCAGTGTCTGCAGGCATTGGGATGTTGCAGCTTTAGGAGATCACTGCAGGAGCTGCAGCTGCATTGTCCTGCAGCCAGAGGTTGCTGTGCCAAGGGCTGGCAGTGATTGTGCCCCAGGCACTTCTCAGCCCCTTCCCAGCCCTGAGTGCTTGAAGCTCTCTGTGCCTCTGTGCTGTGCCCGGGCTGGCTGCAGGCAGTGCCCCAGCCCTGCTGGGCTGTGCACAGGAGCTGCTCCTGGCCAGAGCTGTCTCTCTGCAGCTCTGCTGCCCTTGCCAGGAGCTGCCTCTGGGCCAGGAGCCCGGGCCAGCTCAGCAGCACAGACACAGCACCAGGACTTGAATGAGCCCCTGGGGCTTTGTGCTGAGGCCCTGAACATCAGTCCCTGAGAGGGAGCTGAAGAAACCTCTCCAGAACTCTGAGTCAGAATCCAGCTCCAAAGTTTCTTGAAGTTTTAATGGGTCCCACTGAGGGATAGGACTAAGAAAGTGTCCCCAGGCCCCAGGCAGAGCAGAGAACTGGAGGCAGTGATGACAGGTGGGGACAGAGAAGCCAAGTCTTGGTGCCCTGGGGCACAGCAGGGTCTGTGCCACCAAGGGCTGGGAGGAGACACCTTGTCCTGAGGCCCTGGGGCCTCCTGGCACAGCCCCAGCCAGGCTGGGCACTGTCAGCCCCTTGTCCTGCCCTCAGCATCCCCCCATAGCCCACATCCCAGTGGCCTCAAGGATCTGCTGGAAGGATTCCCAGGGGAGCCTTGCTCAGGAATGGCCCTGGGGGCTCCTGAATGCTCCCTGCAGGGACTGCAGGTTTTTCAAAGGACTTTGGGTTTTGCTTTTGCCTTGGAGTCTCTGAGTAGTCTGTGCAATCATGGCCTCCAATTATCTGTTGTAATTATGTAATGTAATCTGCTGGGGAGGCTTTGTCAGCAACAACACTTAATGGGGCTCATTCATGCCTCAAGGTACTATTTCAGTTATTTTAAGGTACCTGGTGTTTCCCTTTTGATACAGACTCTGGGAGAGGTTTGTGCAATCATGGCCCCAATTATCTGCTTTAAGGAGTTCCTTGAGGGCTTTGTACTGACACTCAGTGGGGCTCATTAATACTTTGAGATACTCAAGATTTTTAAGGTACTTTGTGTGGAGGCTGGAGAACTGGCCAAGGAAAAGCCTGCTGTACTCCCCTGGAGGACCAACCCCATAACCTCTGGTTAGGGAGAGCAAAAAGATCACCCCCAAAATCCTTTGTTGCTTTATGTTGATCCCTTGCAACCCATTGGTCCTTCCCCTTTGCTCTGCCCTGTGCCCTGATCCCATTCACTCTAGTGTTCTGTCCTGCCCTTTGAGATCCCAATATAAACCCCTGCTTTCCCTGCCTGAGTGGCTTTTTGTCCCTGGACAAAAAGGAGGTCCTTCCCCTTGCTCTGCCCTGTGCCCTGATCCCATTCACTCTAGTGTTCTGTCCTGCCCTTTGAGATCCCAATATAAACCCCTGCTTTCCCTGCCTGAGTGGCTTTTTGTCCCTGGACCCTTTTGAGGATGAAGTTCAGGAAAGGTTCTCCTTGGAACCCCACACCAAGACCCCGTCTCTCCTTCTGCGTCTCCGGGATCACAGAAGAGCTGAAATCACTTGTCATGAGCACAGACCTTGCCTGTGCCCCCGAGGTGTCTTCTTCAAGAAGTTTCTTCGGGAAGGTTGCAGCGCTCTGAGCACCACCTGCCACAACCTGTGGCGCCCAGCGTGCGGCCTCTGCAAAGAGATCCCTGAAGAAGTGTCTCCTGCAGCCTCCCACTGCAGGACAAAAGTCGCTGTTGGCGCAGCCGCTTTCCCCAGGAGAAGCCCTCACGTTTTAGTGGGGGCTGTCTGAAGGGCGACCGGGACCCTCCGAAGACTGAAGAGGCTGAAGAGCTCCCGGAGTAGCGGAGGCCAATTGAGGGGCTGAGCACCTGCCCAGCAGATTTTCATTGACCCGATGGGCAATGGCCCAAAGAGCAACTGTAAGTTATATATATATATATATATATATATATATATATATATATATATATATGAGGGTCTTCTGCTTTTTCATTTTCCTTGTTCTGCTGGGTGTGGGAACAAAGTCTGAGGATGGGCAACAACCTTAGTCATCCTAAGCTGAGCCCTCCTCAAAGTCACATCTATTCCAAGGTTGTGGGTGCCCTTGCTGATTGGAGAATTTGTTTTTCTAAGGAAAATTGGAAAGCTTTTGTTCATTTTCTTTCCAAATACTTTGCAAATGTTACAAGGGAATCGGTTTTATTGCTTGAGTTTTGGATGTGGTTGGGATCAAGTTATTTGTTTTACAAATGGAGGGAAATTTTAAAGTGGGGAAGTTTATCCTCTTTTCCATTTATCCTTATTTTCATTCTATTCAGTTAAACAATCGGGGGAAAATTCAGGAAAAGTTTTTGGTCCCCAGTTCAAAACCACTTCCCCTTCTTCCTGTCCCCATGTACCCAAAACCCTTCCTCACCTGAGGGGCAATGGGCTGGCAGTCGTTGTCACTTGGCCCAGGGTTGCTATCGATCCCCTGACGCCTCCCGATCCCCTCTCTCCCTTTGCCTGGACAGCAAAGCGTCTGCTGCCCTGGACCTTCCCCTCATCCTCCCTCCTGTGCCCCTTTACCCACTTCCCCCTCCTGTTGATTCCCCACTAAACAGTGCCAGCAACGTATCCAGCCCCACCATTTTGTTGCCTCCATTTCCAAGTTTTCCCACCCTTACACCCCAAAGTGGCCACCTCCCCACCTCTACTCCCTTTTCTGTGCCCTCCTTTGCACTCATCTCCCCCCTTCCCCCATGTTGATGGGTGTAACCACACCAGGACCCCCCCATTGGTCAGGAATCCCCTCCCCATTGTGGACCCCATTGCAGTTGTGTATAAACAGGGGAGAAGGACAACATCACCCAGCTCCTGGGACCCCATCCCCTGCAGGGACACCTCCTCAGCAGAATGTCCCCGGGTTGTCCAGAGCCGTGCCCCTGCCCCAGGTGGGGATGGCGAGCTGGCGGGTGCCCTGCTGCTGCACAGACCTGCAGGGACAGCCCCTGCCAGTGCCCGTCACCAGCGGAGCACACTGCCCCTGGAGCAGGCAGGTTGGAGCTGGGAGACATCCTGCCCCGTTTGGGATTTCAGGAGGCAGCACCCACTCGAGGTCACAGGCCCACGGACATGAGCACTGGGTGAAGGAAAGATCTAATGTTAAAAGCATCATCCAGGCAATGCTCTCTTTACAAGTTCTGCCCTGAGTTTTCCTTAAGATCTGAAACGTTCAATGTCACCAGCAAAAGCTCCTGCAATGGCTGCAGGCCAGCAGAGCAGGGCTGTCAGCTGTGAAACAAGTGCTGCCACAAGCAGCAGCTCCCCCAGGGCAGCAAATCAAGAGCTGGGAAGGAGCTGATCTGA